TGTACAAGATGTTTTTATTTGGAGTCGAGGGTGTCACAGAGAGAGAATGGGGAAGTTTCATAGTAGGAGTTCTATTTAGACCAACTAAAGGTCAAGAGTGCCACTCTACCTAAAGCTGCACCGTTTCCTAACTCTGTAATAGAAGCAGGTTTGGCTGTTTACTTTTGCCCTGGTTGCATCTTCCCTGTCTCCACTTGACAACACTCCTTAGGGATCCAGGCTGCCAGAGCCTCTTTAACCCTTGTGTGTGGCATGCTTATGGATCTGAAGGATTGAAGTATGTACTCGGTCGGCCCTGCAAATGAAAAGACTGAAACCTGCGATTTAAGCAATTAAATATGCTGTTAGATTTTTTTTGAGGCACCATTTCTGTTTCTTGACTACTGTCATTATGGAAACATCAACAAAGTGCCATAAACACAAGTGACACAGCTAGGTTTGCTAACTCAGCTCTTCTTGGTTTTATTGCCCTCACGCTGTGTAATCTGCAGGTACTGTGACAAAGCAGAGAAACATGTTGAGTCAAGGAGACAAACACCCAAGACTATTTGGCTTCTAATTTCATTCAAGACTGACCGGCAGTAAAAGAAGGAAACCTCAGAGTGAGGTATTACTGCTCTCTAGTGGTGAGAACATGTTAGTACATTTTTAAATCTCAATCAGAGCATCTTGTCCTTTGTTTTTTGTAAATCAAATTTATAATTACACATTCAATAAATACATTTTATAGTACTTTTTAATTATATTTTTATTCACATATTAAGCTCTTAACAACACAACAGTGGAAGTGATGTATTGTTGTTGTGACAGCACACAACAAAATGTGACCTCTGCCCTTAACTCATGAACACTGCCCCTTAATTAACCTATATTAGTTTAAACAAGTGAAAAGTAAGAACTTTTGACACATATAAACACAAACAAAAACAAAACAAAAACAGGATAAAAATAAGGACAAGATGTAAAAAGTATTAATAATTATAATTAATCAATATTTATGTTTCATTTATAATTAAAAGCTTGACCTGTAACTTTAGCTGTGGGTTTTGGGAATCAATCTCTGTCCATTCATTTTGAAAAGCAAATTTGTATTTGACTTTCAGTGACTCTGGATATGGATCTTCATTGTTTATCACAAAAAGCTTGTTAGAACTAAAGCTTTTCTCCTTTTTCCATTTATAGTCAACAAGTAGTTTCCATATATAAGCTGGTTGCTGCGCATTAAAAAAACTTTATTTTGCGGAGTGATAGTGCAATGCCATTTATTTCTCCCTAAATCTAAACTCTGTCCAGTAATTTAAATTCCGATTTTTGAATTGTTTTTTTCCCCTCTTAAATGCACCAAAAACACCAAATCAATCATTCCTACCTTACCACCCGAGTCTATCTGATGATTTTCTGAAGTAAAGAAACTTCAGTCTCTCCTGTTATTTTACCAAGGTGGAATCTTTTAAAAGCTTTGCAATCTTTTGCTAGCTTTCCTATGAGACAAGAAAAATGGTGCACCACACTGCACCCCTCCACTCCCCAGTTTAGTCTGCTGTAATCACAACTCATAAGACTTTCAGGCCCCTGCATGGTCAAAGTGAAAATGTCTCCTGTGTAGAATGTCATCGTGACGTCACCCTGTAATTTTCATGAAAGCCAACTTCACAGTTGAACAAGCCTGCTTGGCCATGAATAACCACAGTGCCACGGAGAATTAGTCACCCTGGGACATCTTCAGCTGCGACCCCTTATTAAACCACCTCTCCTTTGTCAGGACTTTACCAAGACATGTCGAAAAGAAGTTCCGCTTCGATGACTAGATGCTAAATGATCAAAAACTGTTTATGCTTTTTCTTCATATTGTTTGGAGAATATTGTTAAATTTGAGTAATTAGGAAGTATGTGTGTGTGTTTATGTGTGTGCGTAAGTCTTTCTAGCTGTCTTTTCCTTACGGCTGAAAGTGCACACAGAATGCAGAATGACTCCCTCAGCAGCCTCTTATCCCCGATGGGCCCAGCAGACTTCCCAAGCTGAACAGATCCAGTCAGGCTGACTCCCTCTCACACTTCAGACTGGTTAACAAGCAGTAGAATTGACGTCAGCTAGTTAAATTGTATGTAACTTTTTTTACTCAGTGCTAATAGTGTGACCTATTGATTTTCTGTCAGTGCCTTTTGCTTGGTGGAACACTAATGGTATTGGTCAGTAAAAAGCATGAAGTGGAAGTTCCTAATACCCCTCCCCCTGTGATGTCCACATCCCTAAAAATACTTTCTCCTTCCCTCAGAGACGGGTGCCATAACACCTCAGTGCACTTATTCAATCCTCACAGTGATGTTTGTTTCCTCGGTGCACATGTAAGCAGACTAATATGCTGAGACATTCACCCAGCTCATCTACTCTGACTCCAGTTTCCTGCCAATTTCTATTCATACACTCGGCCAGTCAGTACCCTGCCACTTCTAATCAATACATGTACAACACCACGAACTTAGCACGAAATAACTCTGAGACTTGTTCACGCAACACAAACACAAACAGCGTGCACAGCCACTACAGCTCATACTGGACTCCGCGGCCCAGCGCCTCAAAGAATTACAGACATGTTGAAAAGAACGAGTTCACAGCAAGAATAAAAGCCCGTGTCTGTAAAGCTGCCCCCCACTGTTACATCGACTGCTAATGTCAATGTGTGCTCTGTTTGCCCGTGTCTTTTCCTGTATGCTTGCATTTATTGAACTGTGCAGAAGGAAATATTATGGGTACAGTTCATTTGAACTGACATTATTGCACACTTCCCGTCCAAAGAAAACAACCATCTTCTCTCTTGATAACTAGCGCCATCAATCAGGTAGCCATCTTCAACATCTCCACTTTGGGGACCATCTCATTCTACTGTCAACATAATAAAATACATTATAACGAGAAATAGAAATAATAGAAAAGAAACAAGACATATAATTCTGTAGTGTATGCTAGTGACCATTTACTGTTAGAATCGAAACTGTTCTGCCATTAAGCTATATGCATTTAATCAGTCCTCCAATTTATGATGTACATATATAGTATATTGGGTTAGTATATGGGATATACTATATTGGGTATTCTAATGTTTTCATAGTAGTATACCTTGTTGTAGGTGGACCACTTTAGCCTGGTCATTTGAATAGTAGCTCCCAAGTCAAAACGTAGCCCTGGTATATACCAGTAACATGCAACATATAGTATATGCTGTATATAAATATATAAATATATATTTTAAACGTATATACAGCATATACTGTATGTTGTTCGTGTTGCATGTTCTCAAATGACCAGGCTAAAGTGATCCACCTACAACAAGGTATACCAGAGGTTTAAGAATATTATTAAGACTATCACATGTGTCGTGACATACACAAACATTTGGTTTTTCAAAATTTATAAAATAAAACACTTTAGTTATATGCAAGTCCAAATTTTTTGGAACTAGACCTGTTCGGGGCCAACTCTCCAAAGCTGGAGAAGCAACAGCAGCAGTGGTATTGATTCACCTTGCAGCCTGAAGCCTGCTGCCACTGACAGTATATCACTTTATTTAATCCAGTGTTAAATGTGCTGTAATTAGAAATCTGTCAAGCAGATGTGTTTTTTACTTAAATAGTGGTTTGCGGCTCTGAGCTGTGTGCCAAACAACGCTCTGTGCCATACGTTAGTTTTTGTCAAAAGACAATATTTTATTTAGATGATGGTTTAGGAATGGGTGGGGAGGAGGGTGGTTAAAGACTCAGAAGAGAAGAGAAGGCAAATGATGCAAATAAAAGCTTCTACGGGAGGATTAGGCTGGGTACTATTTGAAAAGTACTTACAGTAAGGCTGCTAATTGTGGTTAATGTTTCCAAGTCCCTTGACTCAATCCCATGAATGATTGCCCATTACAACTGCCTTGACTCGCGTTCACTGTACAGTTGACGTGTACAATGTAAATGAGGCAGATTGGTGTTTACAATTGCAATGTTTTTATATTTCTGTGTATATTTACTATAAATCAATTTATACGTTGAATGTCCTGTCCCAGTCCATGGTTCACTTTATTTAAAAATAACATATTTATTTATATTTAATTAACAAGACTTTTATTTGTAGAATATATTGTGTTTAAGTTGTTTTTTTATTTTTTATTTTCATTTATTTCATTCATCGTATTTATTGTAAATTACAGATGGATTGATCTTACGCTTTTCTGTGTCAGTCCAAGCTAAAAGTCAAAGGGAGAGTTCATCTCAGACAGACCACTGCTTCACCAGAGCTGACACACACAAAGAAATGAGCAATTACACTCACATTAGCACCAACTGTCAGCTAAGGATCTTCAGTTACTCCAGTGTGAGGTCTCTGAATAGAAGCTGCTGTACAATTATTACAAACACACCCACAGAGATGTGGCTGGAACTGCCACCCTGTTGTTTGGCTGTTCCCATTCAGATTACTGTATTTTATTTTATTATAATTTATTTAAAAAAACCTGTGGACTAATTTGCTCATTGTTTCATATATGTTGTGCTGCTTTTATACAGTTATTATAGTGAAAGTAGTGAGACAGACTGAAAACTACTATGCCAGTTTCACTAAACCTTCTAAACCTTTCTTTTAAGGTTTATTCACCTTGAGATTCGGAGAAATGGGGTCTACAGATTGGCCAAGAAGGTTCTGGGTTTAATCCCACCAAGTACCCCATCCAAGGTTGGAGTGCATCAAAAAGGGTATAAAAACTAGACTAAACCATGGTGTGGACTACCACTGTGAAGTCTCTGTTTATGCTCTGTTTCAGTCTACACTCAAAGCCATCAAACCACACATACATACCCATATACTGTATGTGACCAAATATATACTGTATATACACATACAGTAGCTATATATGTACATATTTATGTACATATATGCACCAAAGACACAAACCTAAGAGTCAAAAGTTTTAAAAAATATAAAAACCCACTATTTCCATTTTGACGTCATGAATGATACAATTTACAGTTCACACGAAAACAAACAGCTCCCACAATGTCGGTTTCCAATAAGTACCACTGGGTGTCGCTCCAGAGCGGTAAACATTGCTCCTTGTGCGCCGCTTCCTCCATCATTGGCCCCACTGCCTCAGCTTGCACTGTGTGCGTGTGTTGTGAGTCGGATAGAAAGTCAGCCTGGTTTCCAGCTGAGTGCTTGCTCTCTCACAGTGTGTGTCTATCCGTGTGTGCGTGTGACTCTCAGAGTGTGTATGTGTGTGTGTTGTCATTATTATCCACTCTGCTCCCAGCTCAGAATGGCCAGATTCACCCAGACTGAAACAAGAAGGCAGCAGCAGCAGCATCCTCACTCCAGCCTGGTTTTCACTGGACCGGCGGAACCAGCGACCCAACAGCCACTTCTTTTAATCCCACATCAGCACCAGTATCCTCCGATCACATTCCCGAAACCCATGAACGGGTCAGAACCCATATCAATTCATCCGGAGAGCGGCAACATGAAAGACCAAGATGCCATTAAGCTGTTTATCGGGCAGATACCGAGGAACTTGGAGGAAAAAGACCTGAAACCTCTGTTTGAACAGTTTGGCAAAATCCACGAACTGACAGTTCTCAAAGACCGTTACACCGGCATGCACAAAGGTAACGTGTCGCACCTGAAACAGCTACTAATAACTGCTTATTATGTGTGCCTATTTGTTGTTATTCGGAATGTGTCAGAATTGTTGCGCATTAGGCAATTGTGAAAATCGTGTTTTCCGTTTATATATGTATATTTATGTATGTGTATGTGTACGTGCGTGTGTGCGCGTGTGTGAATTTAGGAAATAACTGATGGTCGTGGGCAGGTTTAGTTTTGACCCCTTTTTTCCTTTTCTTTCTCCTTATTTCCAGGATAATTATTTTTGGGTCTCCATTTGTTTAATTCATTTTTGGCTTCAAAATTGCATATTCATAAATACTGCAACTGCACTACTGCATGAAATCAGGACCAAGAGTGTAGGCTAGTCCTTCTTTTTTTTTTTTTTTTTTCAAATTGTAATCTTTTCCTCCCTAACATGCTCCTAAGTGGGACACAGGCTGCATTTTTTAAGAGCTTCCCTCTTGCCATGCAGCCCCATCTTTTACCGTATCATTTATTCATCCACATGCTTTTTTGAACATCTCTGCACGTGCAGAAGGAGCAGGCAGGGGTGTAAACTGAAATCAGTTCAGCACCACAGTGGCTCCACTGGGCGCGAAACTGTCACAAGATGACGGACGTCGCCACGCAGAGTGGGCAGTGATGCAGCGCTGCTTCCGCTAAAATGGAAGACTGAGGCAGGCAGAGGTTGTAAATCCACCCAGCCCACTGTACACACTGACAACCTGCACCGTACACAGGCAATTGTCATTGGCCACTCAGAACACCTGGATGTGGGGCAGGGTCATCCTCTTCATCATCATCATTGTCACCTAGTCCTTCTTATTCATCACCATCACCATCATCATCACCATCATCACCATTATCATCGTCACCATCATCATATTTATCATATTCATCATTGTCTCCATCATCATCATCATCCTCATCATCATATTTATCATCATCACCATCATCATGATCATCATATTCACCATCATCATCATCATCATCCTCATATGTGTGTTTATTCTCAGGGTGATTAGCTACATGGTTTGATTGTATTGGGAATTACCACGTGTTATCGCTGCACTTTAACAAGTCATTTCAAACTCCAAATACCCAACTGAAAGAAATGCAGTGATAAAGGACGTGAGTCTGGTACCAGCCTTACTTCTTTGCCTGCTCTTTGATTGTGGTTTGATCCTGGATGCTCGATAGACAGTCACAGAAATGAAACCTAACGGTAACTATCATTTTGCCACCGACTTGATCGCTCCGAGTGCCATTTTAGATCCTTCGTTCCACCCTCCCTCAGTGCTGAAGCTGATGCGTGAATCATGTTAGTGCAGGAGATACGCCTTTTATTGCAGTGACATTTAGAAGACAAATAACAATCAATGACAGTCATGCAAATGTCATTTGCAAACAGTGCAAACAATGCCAGGTCTGCTATCACATAAAAAGACATTATCAGGACCGGTGAAATGTGTTGTCATTATCCTCAGCTGTAATAGAGGACTGTCTGTCCTGTCCCTGGTCGGCAAAATCATTCCATGAAAGATTAGCAAAAAGGTTAAAGCTAACAAAGTTTCATGCAGAGATGGAGGTGTGACACAATAATGATGTAATGGTGAAAATATAATCAGCAGTGACAGGATACACATTGTCATCCTCTTCTGCTGTGTAATCACACATGTGTAAAACTATGGCTCGTGGACCAGATATGGCCCACTGGGCTATCTAATCTGGCACACCAAACCCTGGTGATTTGATGTCAATCCTTCTGTTTCATGCATTACAAAATATCAACTGTAATTTCTGGTCATAGAAATATATAAACGTTAAGTTTGTAGCTCATTTGTTGGCTTACAAAGAGCAAATTCATTTTTTCAGATGTGTATCAGATTATGGAAGGGCTTACATGATAACAACTTTTAACATGCCAGTGATCTAGAGTAAGATTGTTAATTATGTAACTAAGCAAATAGGATTAACACACACATACTTTTATTGGGACTTTTTTTTTTTTTAGTGTCATTCCAGCCACAACTCACGTGCATGCACATCCTGAGCCCCAACCTCTGGTAATCCATGAGGGAAAACATGGAATGAGTTTGTAAAGTGCGATAATAATGCACGGCCATTATAACTCGACTCAAGAGGATTAGCAAATGTGCGTTGTCTGAAGCAGCGGTCTCCTGGGTGATCAGTTGGTTGCTTCCCTAAACAGTGGCTGCCTCTGCCAATTAAAAATTCAGTCTAGTTGGCCTCTTCAGATGATTAATTCTGCCCGTGCTGCCGATGGCCTGACAATTATTGTTGCCTAATGCGTAATAATAGGTAGAGGATTTCCTGATGTCGTGGAAAAAGTTTTCCCTTTGCTTGCAATTAGCATCGGATTGACACACGTTCAACATATAGCGAGGCCTGGCTTTGCTTACTCTGCAGCTTTTCTCAATGTCTCTTTATGAATTTAAATATCAGCGCGAGCAGATGTTTAAGATTTCAGCTGAATTACGCTGCTTGTCAAGGTAGATTATATCCCACAGGTTTGCCTCAGATTGATTAATTCCCGCAGGCAGTGAAGCAACGTAGTGGAAGGAGAGATTTTTTTTTCTTTTTTTACAGGTGTGATTCAGCACAACAAAAGGCAATGAAACAAAGAACACCTACACTGCTCATATCTGCCAGCAGAGGTAGCCAAAAAAATATCAAGCGTGCTTCAACTATCTTTGTGTTAATGCATTAATAAATGGAGCAGAGATATTGCCTTAGACCTCAGCCAAGCAGAAGCACATTAAATCAAAGCATATTCTAATAAAATATTTATTTAAGTTTTTTCTTTGGTTTTCCGAGACGGTCTGACGGGTAGCATTCCTCTGTGGCTCGAAAAATACAATAAATAGAGGCGAGAAGGAAAGGAAATGTGACGAGTAGAAAGTGCACATATACGTCCACGTAACTCAGATGAGGAAATATGAAACATGAGCCTGGAGTTATTTATTTATTTATTTTTACATGTAATGAATATTGCAGGACACTACTGCATCTAGCTTGTGTTGTCAAGGACTTTCCCTTTGTCCTCATTGATAAAAGTGATGCGTGACTTATACATCTGTTTTGCGTGTTTCGTCTTAATGTTAGAGATCATGGCTCTGCTGTAGAACAGCCTCCCCCCTGAGGAAACAGATGGAATAATTCTACTTACAGACCATAAACGCAGCTGTAGTCGTGGCATGGATAGTACTTACAGACTGTGATATTATTCATTTAACAGGCATCTGTTTAGCATAGGGCTTTGCCAGTATGGTCATTGTGTGATTGCTAATAAAACTAAATAGGGCTTGGGGTTTTTTTAGAAAGACGTGACATCCATACTCCAGCGTAAAAAAAAAAGAAGAAGCAGTTTTGTGCAGTGAATTGATTTGACAAATCTGGAGTAAAACCTTCTGCCAGGACCAGTGAGTGAAGGCCACTGAGCCAAACTAATGCAGTAACAACACTCACTTCGCAATCTTTAAACGTCTGTAAATATTGTAATAAGCAACAGGGCATTCCTCATAAAAGATGCAGCAGCTCAACTGGTACTGACGGGCGCTACGGGCCCTGACTTCCAGATGAGGAGTGCTGCCTCACTCCCTCTACTCCACTTTTTTTCCTCTGAGGAGATTGGCAATCTCAGATGCAGACAAGACTGTGCTCTGCTGGAGGTCAGCATCCACACACCGAACTCACCAGGCTGCAAATTCTCTCTTTAATATCTTCCGGGGAGAGCCTTTCAGATGGATTGATTTCCAGCAACAGTGCAGCATTTGTTGTGGTTTGGATTGTATTTTGCTTTCTGTATATTGGGAGTGCTTTTATCCTGCAACCTTTGTGGAATATATTCGCTGTTACTGCGTGTCTGTAGTAGAGATAGATGTGGGAAGCTGTACTAAGAGGTTTCAGGGGAAACATATTGGCTCACTTTATCACAAAGACACTGGTTTATGAGAACTTACAGCAGCTCTTTATTTATACATTCAATGGACCCCGACTAACTCTGTGCTGGGTTTTGCTTTGACTGCGGACTGGAGCTAGCCTCCTTACGAGGTCTGTCCCTAATAACAACAAAGGGGTTTGGGTTTGAAGCCATGGTTTTGGTCACCTTGCTAAAATCTTCAGCGCTGGATTTGAATAGTTTCCCTTTTTCGTTCAGTGAAGGTTTTGTTAATGTGTGGGAGAGTAAAAATAAATGGTACTCCACATTCAGTTAGTGGTAAATATGAAACAGTTGAAAACAATTTATTTACATCGACATAATTCATTCAGACCTCAATTCCAATCAATTTTTTGAATTGTACTTTTCTAGAACATAAATTCATTCCTCTGCCTGTTAGTTCAGCCGTTTCTGAAGATTTTTTTTTCCTGCAGCGCTTCCCTTTTGCCGATGTATTGACTATTTTTGAGCTCCCCTTACATGTCCTCACATATAAACCTTTAAATTGACATCTCTACTAAACATATTTAAAACACTGTCCTTGATTCAAATCTGCTATTGTAACTGAATAAAGAGAGCACTTTGTTAGTGTATGGTGTTAATACACAAAGCCAACGAAGTCTAAACAGAAGCCCATCTAATTTATATGGGAGAAGAGTGTACTCTTTCGAGGCAGTGGAACTCGGGCTAAGCGAGTTGGTGGTTTCTGTATGAAGGGCATGAACTCTCTAATGCTGTGTTTGGGCCCTGACTGGGCACTCGGTTATTTTGGCTGGAAAAGAAACAACAAGGGAGGTGAGAGAGAGGGGGGGCCGGGGGGGGAGGGGGGTATTCTAAAGCAATGTTTTTTGCGATAATCCCTTTCCATTTTGGAATTGCTCAAGAGAACTCAAGCGATAAAGCCTCGTTCCATCCTGGAAAACAATAAGTTGTATGTCCTGCCTTATACACAGGGAATAACCACAGATTAGTCAAGCTGTCACATCCTAACGGTTCTAAGAGTAAACAATGCCTGCATTTTTGACATGTATTTGCCTG